TACCTTGTACAGTAATGCGAGATCGGAAAGGGTGGGCTTTAATATGCGACATTTGTCGCACGAGAACGCTAGTTTTTCCTTATGCCTTCTTGTTGCTTAAAAAACACGTTTCTTTGAAACTTGTAAACGAATGATCAAAAACAATTATCAATAAGGAACAGAATTTATTTCAATAAAAAAGAAAAATATTTACACATGTATGAATTTATTTTTCTCAAACTATATAAGAAATTAAATAATATATGAAAAAACAAGGGCCTGGCAATAAGGGCCTGGTTTTTCTGCCGAAAATTCGTAGCTTTCCGGTGAAACGATTACATAACTTTCTCTTCTTACGAAGTACTTTCGTAAGGAAGGAAAAGTAAAAATTCATTTCATTCAAATTCAAAAAAGTTTAAAATAGCTCTCTCTACACAAGCTTTCCCAAGGACATAAAATCGTCGATCAAAACCTAGCATGGATTCAGGCGACTGAAAGTTCTACCGCTACAGAAGTAATTGTAGTGTACTAGTTTTCACCATACATTTGTTTTATTCGATACAAAAAATACGTTCGTTGTATATTCAATGTTGTATACGAGGTACCCGTGCTCAAGTGAATAGGAGTACCGTGTAACCACTGATAGTCACCGTAGGAGGGGGGCATTAAAACGAACAAACATCTCCTCAAATCCAACAGCGTCATAAGAAAAATCTGTGAAAAATATCTGTGAAAAATATTTGTTAGTTTTCAATCGTGTTGCACATCGTTTTGATCAGGCTCAATGAAACATGAGCCAGCACGTGAAATGACTTCTGCTTCACAAACACCTTCTCATCTTCTGATTTCTAAAATTTAATTTCAAGATGCAGTCGGGGTCGAGGTGGAGTAAGTTTGACAATATTTATGGTGTCGGTTTTCGGTAGTCATAGAACCACCGTAACATTTTATTGCTTTTTAAGAGAGATGATTCCAGTAACATATATTGCAAACTCGCATTTTAAATGTTCTGTTTCGAATTATAAACGTATTAAAATGTAATAAAATATGTAAGAAATATGATATTTTAGGTAAAATTTGTAACAACGTGTCAAAAAAACGAATATACGTAAAATAAAAATGGTACTAATGAAAGATAACTAAAATATGGTTCTAATTCATTCAGAGTGTTTTGTAAATTCTAAAGAATACGTACATTATTAAATGAAGTTTTTTCATCGCTGTAAAAATTTGTATTGATATGGAAAGTAGGTATTGACATGTTCCTTACTGACCAAATAGCAACAACCGGGAATCCGAGGCGTGTCGAATGGCAACTAATTTGTCTCGACTGGCGGAGAGGAGGGTTATCGCAGTGAGGCGTTGATGAATGCAGTTTACTAGATTATCTACGCATACCATCTTTAACGTTTTGCTTTGATCAAGTCACTTTTCGAAGGGTCATTATTCGTTCTTCCGCGCATGTTTAACTTAAATGATACTATCTTTTGAGAGATAATCATGAATTTATTGCTAATGAATTGCTCATTTTCATCGTATAGTAGAATTAAAATCTTGAACTTGAAGCATAGCTAAATAAATCACAATGAAGGCACAGAATATGAAAGTATTATTTCAACATTTCTCAATCAAACATTCGATATATAATGAAATGTAGAAATTTTAATTTACGTGTAGATACATAGACCGGAGCGACGAAGCAAGAGAGTGTAACTTCAAATTTATTACTCATACACAAGCAGATAAATCACGTTATAGATTCGACTATCTGATCTCTTAATTAGTACAATATTGATTATCTTTCAGTTTTTTATATACAGCTCACAAAGTTATGTAATGCTACAGCGAAAAACCGATATTTCGAAAGAAAAGTTCGTATTGTAGTACCATGATAACGAAAAATAGGTAACTGGTGTAAAATACATAGTAAATTTCTTTCTTTAACACGTTGTGTAGTCACGGTTTGGTGGTCCTAGATATCGAAAAATCGGTTAAAAGACTATCCCGTCAGTTCTTCCCTCAGCTTCTCCCGTCCGTCAGCCTGTCCGTCCGTCAGCCTGTCCGTCCGTCAGCCTGTCCGTCCGTCAGCCTGCCTGTCCGTCAGCCTGTCCGTCCGTCAGCCTGTCCGTCCGTCAGCCTGTCCGTCCGCCAGCCTGTCCGTCCGTCAGCCTGTCCGTCCGTCAGCCTGTCCGACCGTCAGTCTGTCCGTCCGTCAGTCTGTCCGTCCGTCAGTCTGTGTGTCTGTTCGTCCGTCTCGGAACAATTCTAGCAGCCTTAAACGTACGGAAATTCTCATCAAAATTAATATTTTCTAATCGATCTGCCTGATGTCTCGACCCCTTGAACTTGAACACACTCGTATGAATTCAAGCGCTTTAAATGATTTTTCATGAAATTTCTCAAAAGCTCAAAAATTTACTCTGAAAATGAGCTCAAAAGTGCACATTCTCAAAAATGATCAAACGGCATTTTCTCAAGAATGGCTCCAATTTTTTAATGAAAACTAGCATTTTGGACTATTTTTTTCTTTAATCATTCTCAAAGTCCGTCAGTATCAGGGGAACAAAAAAATAAGGTAATGTAAAACAATATCTTTTGGGAACCGCCAACTGGGAAGAGGGTGGGAAAATACCGAAATGGTAGCCTAGACTAAAGAAATTAGAAAACAAACTAGTGCAAGAAATTCTCTGCCATTCTGTAGCACTACTACTTTCTGTTATTTTTTTCTCTTCTTGAAGTTGTTATATCATTATTTCAAACGAGTTTTATCGAGTTGGGATCAAGTAATGAAGTAATATAGTATTATTCATTTACCATGTCATGGTTCTCTTCAAGGTTGCTTTATTTTTTGCCTCTGATCACGTCAAGATCTCTTATCTATTGATCTAGTATTGAATATCCTTGATTTTCTTATGGTAAACAGTTTTCGTCATGAAATAGACTTGTTCATATTATATTTACTTTCTGGATCATGACTCATATACTCTGGTCGGTACTTTTTGAAAGCGTCGAAACTTGGCACAAGGTCCCTTTTTGTTTTTGAATATCTTTCTACGATATTTCAGCTTTTTATTTGAAAAGCGATAGAAAGTTGTCGCATTTTAGCCATTTTCACGCAAACTTACATATGTAGAGGGGTGAGTTTGTTGTATTACATTCATGTTTTAGGCGAAGGCATGATACAGTACAGTGTACACTATCCTTCTTAATAGAAATATAAATTACCAAGCTTTTTTAAAATCAACTGTGAAATATGTAATAAACAAATAATCTTGTCGGAAGAAGACATATGTGACAAAAAGATGCTCACATATCATCATGCTTTGTAACGCCATCAATGAGACAAGGGAGGATCCATCCGTTCATTGTGTGTGTGTGGAGGGGGAGGGAGGGGGACATAGAGTTTTGTTAAATATAAAAATATTTGTCATTATATTGTACATTTTTGTAGTGTATATAAAACACTATACAATATTATTTTTAATAATTACAAAAATATTTAAATAAATTTTGGTAAATAAGAATAGGTTTCAAACTTCTTTCTCTAGGCTTTCTGGGGGCCATGGCCCATGATCCCCATGCCCCCCCCTGCGGTACCACCACTACAAAAACATCCCTTGTGAAATATCGAAAATAATGACAAATAATTCGATGCCGAGATCAGAGAGAAAGTTCGTAGAGAGGGTCGCCGTTGATACTCGAGAGATTGAACCTTGCAATAATACATCACATCCGTCAGAACCGAAGTCTGACCATTACTTTAGCCGTTTCTAGGAACAACAAATCGTTCTCTCGTTCGCCTATTTGGAATTCCGAAGCACGGTCAAGTTGTTTTTCAAGTTCCAGTCTTCTCTTCTCGGGTATAATGAGACTTGTCGCTTCAACAAGCATGGAAATTTTTCATATTAATGGAAAGAATGTTACGTAAGAAAATGTGAAGAATCTGAGAATAAAATAGGTGTAAAACCTGGAACACATGGAGCAGTACAGCTCGCTAGAGTCAAGATAAGGATTGGAGCTTTGATACCAGCTTGAAATTGTTTCACGTCTTGCAATTACATTTTATTAAACGCGAAAATTTTTCTGCGTGCGATCTCTGAAGAGATGTGTTTTGAGCCCTTCATATCTGAATTTTGTTCATAAAAGGGATACAAGTTTCTTATTCTCTAACATCTACAATGAAGAGTTGTTGTATCTTCCTTTACTTGCTATATCCGAGTTTCCTCCTTAATTTTTAATTGCTATATATCCGGTTATCTAAATACACAATCCTTTTGTTGACAAAAATCAGTGGATAAAACTGCCTACAATAACTCGCAGTATGTTAATACCATTTTAAATATTAAAAGTTAATATCACATATTAATTCAGTGATTAGTTTTTAAAAAAATACGTATGTCTATTTAATTTCTCACTTTCCTTTGAAATGATGCACAAGTTTCATTGCAAACTAAGTATTATGAACATCTAAAGCTCTAAACCACCTCGTATCTTCTGAAAACTACAGTCTCATATGTTTGAATGACGAGTTCGGAAAATGTTAAGACATCCTTTTTATATAAAATATTGCTGAAGAAACCCGGATTTCTCTGCGAAGTTCCAATGATACGTCCAATGATGTGCATATTGCCTCAAGTTCATTCCTGGAAGGGGACTTTCAATTTACGTTGTTGACCCAATTAGGATAGGAATTCGACAGCTGATTTTAATGTAGTGTTAACAAAAGTCGCTAACGAAACAAAGGAACTCGGAGGGTGAAAACCCTATGCAGCCGCCACTGCACAGATCAACTGAATGTGTGGCCCTACCCTTTGGAAAACAAAATGTGCAGAATACGAGGTGGTAGAATATGAGAAAGATATTCGCATACATAAACACCCCGTTTGAAAAAGTATAGTAATATACATGATAAATTGAACTACGGCAGTAATATGTTTATTAATTTCAAATGCTTTAATTAAAATACATACATTTACGGAGAAAAAAATTGCTGTTGTAAATCAGGAATAAATTTCACCTACCGTGAGCTCAATGGTGCTGCTTTGGATGCCCGGGTCCATGGTCTCATTTGTGTCTGCCGCGACAAATATCGCTTCCGACTGGCGTAGATCGCACACTTGACAAGATGCCGAGGACTCCAGTAACGTGTCAGACAGAGGCGGTCTCTTTTCGCCTCCACGCCCCCCGCCTCGCCGCGACTTCCCCCCCACTCCCCACGATCATGGGCTTGCCCCTCCTCGCGACAGCCTTCACGGGGCCTTCCTGCGCCTCGTTCACTGCCAGGGGCGGACTGTGCGGTGCGAGTATCACACCCGATGCGGTCGAAAGCGAGGTTTCGCGGCTCTCAACACGAAATTCACCGGGAGCGATGGCTGACAGCACTGCAGTCCCTCTGACCGGGAGGTCCTAGGTTCGAGTCCCGACGTTGGCAGGATTATCGACACTAGCTTGTCAACTAGGTCTGGGGGAGAATTGTAGCGGCCGGCTTCTCTGATCGGTAGTTTTCTGTGATTTCTTCGATCAACACCAGGCGAATACCGGAGCAGTACACTAACGGGACACGGTCCGTGCGCAATATCTCACCATCCTCTTCCTTGTCCTATCATCACCCCTTACACACACACACACACACACACACACACACACACACACACACTAACATGCACACCACAGATGCCGGGACACCGGTCGGGACCTTAGAACTTGTTCCTTGGTGGGAGATACCTAGTTGGGGAAACCTCACCAACCGACAGTAGGTCGGCGCCCGATCTAGCCATACACCGGAGGAAGACCACAGCCACCTCCCGAGCAAAAACATGCACTACTCTTACGGGGTAATGACCTTAGCAGTTGATGCGCCAGGAATCACAAACAATCATACATGAAAATCCTACTCTTGATGAAAGTGATTGGTAAAAATCCCCAAAGCATGGAATCGGCTGTGTTAGCTCAGAGCCAGTATTCCCGTTGTTTCCGCAAGTACTCTGTTCGGGATGTTCTACGGTTCTAGTCCCGACGGTAGCGAATTATCAACACGAGCTATATAGTCGAAATCTGCCATTGGAAAATAATTGTAGAGGCCGTCTGATCCGATCAGTAGTTTTCCGTGGTTTCTCAGATGAACAACAGGCAAATGCCGCAAGCGAGTCCTCGGCATCTTGTCATGTGCGCGATCTGAGCCATTCGGAAGCGTGTCGCGGCAGACACAAATGACACCATATATGGTGTCATTTGTGTCTGGTCTATAGACCAGGGCAGCCAAAGGAGAACCATAGAGCAACAGACGAGTCAGGTCCCGCGCACGATCTTTCTTTCCTCTTCCTCGGCCTATCCTCTATCCCTACTCTCACGCACATTCATTACACTACTACTTTAAAAACTTTCATGTACTACATATGTAGGGAGGCCATTCAGGGGCTTAGAGCTTATGGTGTTGGCTGAAACAATGGCAAAAAATATAGATTTTTCCCTCCAGAAACCTCAATATTTTAACATCGATATTTTTCTTTCGAGATTTTCTTCACATTGATATTTTGTTGCAAAAACATATTTTTTCTGTATAAAGAGGTTTAAATATGGCGTACAGTACCAGCAATCCACATCACTATCGATGTTTTGCATCATCATCTTTGTCACGTTGCACATTTCGCCTGTGCAATCTGAGGAAGTTTGGGAGCTGCTTGTGTTTTGAGTGTATGTTATCGCTAGGCGTATCATTGCCTGAATTGACAGTAGTGTTAGAAAAGACCTTCAGACGTTCTGACAAGTTGTGAACCACACTCACTCCACTCAATACAGGGAAGTGTTCAGTGACATATAATATGTGACCAATCATTGCTTTCCAAACTGGCACGTCTTTCACCATATATTTATAAATAAAAAATATGTTTCATATGTACCGGTAAACTTACATTCGTTCTACATTTATCACCAAATTATTTGAGTGTTTTTTTTTGTCATTTAGTAGTTTTTACAGAGCTGTTAGAGGCATGAAATGTTTGAGTACATCTAACAATACTTTCTTTCTCATATTTTCTTTAGTTCATTGTGGTGCGAGAGCGCGAACTTTACTCACGACTCAGTAAGAAGAGCTTCATTTCTAGTGTAATTTAGCTGCTAATTCCACTTGTCGGGTAGGTAAGTCAAGAATTTATATTTGGTAATCTCATCTTACGGATTACCTCGAACTTCTCAATGTGATACTTTGGTTCCAAAAGTTTTAACCGCTTGATCTACCAGATTACCCTTCCCCTTCATTGAACAGGATGTTTGGATAAAAATCCAAAGCTAAGTCCGTATGTATAGATTTCTGAAACCTTTCCATTTTGCATCACATTTTCTCTCTTGGTTTACTTAAAAACGGGTGTCTTGTAATTGTTTTCATGTTTCACAGTATACTGTATTTTATTGTGCCAGTTACTAACCTAATAGAATACCGCAAAGTTTATCTTAATGAACAATGGGAACAGTGTTAGAAAAACTCCATCGTCCACGTATAGAGGATATATCACAAATTGAGGGTTATCAAGTGTTTTTTTTAATTTTGAAATTTTCTTGTAAGGATCAAGTAGTTAAATTTAAAAAAAATACTTTTTTATCACTTACAAAAAACAGTAAATTCTGAAACACTGCCCAACACTATTTTTGAGGAAGGATGTGTTCTTCCATTTTCAATGAGTAAGGGAATCTTAATTTGATTTACCAATAAAAGGTAGATAAATGCACTGTCGAGCTACGCTTCTCTGGAAGACACGCGCGTGATTTAAATGCCTAAGGGATGAAAAAATGCGTTAACTCTGCACATGACACATGTGAGTTTGAGAAATGATTTCTTCTGAAAGCTGTGGCAAAGTAGACACTCAAGGAGTACCATTGTAAAGGTAAAGCTATATTAGTATAAAATGTAGGGCAAGATGTTGATTTACAAAATGATTCCGCCTATGAAATGGGTTTAAAGACGTTCACGGAAAAAAGAATCAATCTACTACCGGTAAGAAAAGGTTGCTTGCAGTTCCATTAATTCCCTGAGCCTGTTACAGTGTTTAAGGTGTCAGAGCCTCATTTCTCGTCCCCACTATCATTAGGTGCTTTAGTATATTCTAAGGACATCATTAATCCAGAGTGCACACCATTCCTGTTCACTGACCAAAATATGCTCATGTTAAGGGCGTGTGATTTAGGGGTAGAGCCGGACTTCAAGAACCAGAGCCACTAGATGATCAACAGTCTGGAACTCCTTTTAGTAAATGAACAAAAAAGACAAATTATTAATATTTACCAGAATAATATAAAATAATTATTTAATAATTATTGTTACATAACTCTGTTTTACTATCAAAACTTCAACTTATACATGATTATTCTTCCAATGATCCAAATATTTTAAAGTCACAATTAATTAATTTATTTAAAAAGCTGTATAATTATTAAAATTGTTAAAAAGTTGCTTTTCCTTATTTATAAACTAAGAAATAAAAATTTTTCTTGACCTCTATTGAATTTTATTATATACTATCATCAACACCCTTCTGAAACTGGCCCGTGTTTGCCTGGCCTACTTTGCTTAGGCGAAGTACTCCCTTGACTGCAACTCCTGCCAGAAGAGTACAGCTAACGAAAAAGCGCGTCAAAAATTAACATCACAGCCCTAAAAGATGATTCCACTCAAAACTGTAATTTTTCTAATAATATAATTTGTTACTTTTCAATTAATGTTTCACCACCCTTAATTGTCATTTTTATTTAAAACGTTAACCTTATTAAAACCTCTAAACTAAAATTGTGAATTTTTTACCTTGAAGCGTTTCCGTAAACTGTCTAGCCGATTTTCTTCAAAACTTAAATTCCTCGATCAATTGAAATTATCTCAAGGTCCTCTCAGTTTGAAAAGAATATTTTGAATTTTAAGAATACATAAAGTTTCACAAACATTTTCTCAAAAATGGCTCCAAATGGTTTGATTAAACTATGCTCTTGAGTTCGTTTTTTTCTCGGCGTCTTTCTGCAACTACTATATTGAAGATAGGGATTTCTTTCCTCAATAAAATATGTTCTTTAAAGACAGTTCTTGAAGCAAGGTCAAGTACAGTTTTCTTTGGAAATGAGTCGCTTTTGCGATATTTTGCGTGAAATAGAGACAATGTTTATTTTTTTCTCAAATACTGCTCGCAGGTTTTTCTTTAAGCTTTCTCGTATCTATAAAAACAGTAAAAAAAATAGTTCTAGTTTCATTCCGGCGAACTCTGTATCTTCGAAAATTGTAAAGATTTAACAATTCAAAGCTACAAAGTTGAAGATAGAGGTTTTTGCCAACAAAATATGTTGTAAAACAATCAACTTTAAAAACTTTCATGTACAATTCTTTGAAGAAAACGAGTAATTTTCGCGCCCTTTCTTCTTGAATTTAATGCAATTTCTAAATAGAAACATTTCTCATAAATCGCTCCAAATTGTTTCTTCAATTTGTTTTTCGGCGGGAGAACAGGAAATGGTTAAAAGAGGGATGCAGGTGTAATTTTCGTTGAACTCACTGAATTTTCGAAAATTACAAATTTAGAAAGAATGTATGCGCTGTTAGAGCCCCACTATTTTAACGAGCAGTCGCGTACCTTTCCTAACCATGTCTCAAATTGGCACAGGTTACAAATAATATTGAAAGTGTTCTGTTTCCCATTAAGGCAAACTGTACTCAATTGCTAACATTCTGTAGATGCATTATGGACTAAATTCTTTTTCGATGACCTATTTATTTATTTTCTAGGTGGTGCAATTTGTCAAACACAGAAATGTAGGATTCATATTGTGTTGTAATCAAAATCAAAATCAAAAGTCAAAAAATGTATTGTTAGAATGAGTCAATAATTTGGGGAAAATGTGAACGACATTGTACAATTTTACACAACCAAAACTGTTTTCAGTTTTTTTGCTGAAGTATTTTTTAGGAGTTTTAAGTAAAAGTTTATACCGGCTAAATCAGCCCCTTGGAATATTCCGTAACTGTAGCACATTAGAAAACTTCTGACATTCACCAGGGCTTTTAAATTTTAGCTTTCATTGTTTCCATACATGAGAAATACAACCAAAAACACTTTCATATTGCTCAGTACTAAGAGGTATTAGAATATTGGCCGTAAGGTAATTACGTTGATCGAAAGGTTTCCGAGAGCAAACGTCTTTAAAGTTTATAAGTGCGACC